GATGCTGTTAGGATTTAGCTAATACAAAATAAGCACTTAACACAATACCTGATCAATTAACATTAGCTATGTGATGATGATGACTTATTGAGCCCTAGCTCTTTGTGTATTCTGAAGCCTACTGAACCTTGCCTCTATTTTCATCATCTTTCATAGATGGAGAACTGAGAAGTTAAGAGATGAAGCCAGGTTGAAGCAAAGCTCTGACTTCAGAGCTTTTACTCTCAATGAGTTGCTGTGATTGTTGAAGTTGTCTGTAAGGGGCTATCGATTCATTAATTAAAGCTTAAAAAAAACCTGGGGAGTATCTTTAAGGAAGACAGCTATTAGACAATTCAAGAAAATCAAATGAAAACTAAGAACCAATATAAATCTGGTGATGTGGACACACAATCTACAAAAACGGGCTGGAAAAGAGAGTGCAAGCAAGACTCATGGAAAAGGGTCATAGAGTCTGTGGCTGAACAGCCAGGCAGCAGCTGCTGCCTGTGTAACCTGCCTTCTAGGGCCAACCCCACCCACCACACACACATCTGCTTAGTGCTCACTCCTATTTCTCTTGGTGACTCCGGGGGCCAAGTACATCAGAGGACCCAGCTCCCTCCCAGAAGAGACTTACATGTGGCCAGTTCCCCAGTGCCCGCCTAGCTCCCTGGGGCCCACAGGAGAGTACAGTCACCCACCCACGGGCCCACCCTTAGGCCTCCCATCCTGCACCAGTACCTGGCCCAGAGATGTCACACTGTAGGACTTCAGCCAAGGTATAGTGGATATTTGAATGTACACACGCTCTTAGGAAACAGCGTCCGAATGGCCAGCTCCCCACCAACAGGACCACCCGGGCTGGGTCAGCCTCCTCAGGGCCCAGTACAGGAAATGGTACGTATGGCGGTCTTCAGAAAACGGATCTGAGTAGAAGTAACGAGGATGGAGAGTGGTTGCAATCAGGAAAGAGGAATTTCATTGGAAAGTCTAGCGACGTTGCTAGAAGACACCAAGGCATCTCAAGAGAGTGCCCGCGCGGGGAAGCTAGGAGTGGGGCAGGTAAATGCAGCCATTTACTGAGGTCAGAATAGGCAGGAGCAGTGACCCCTGGCCCACCACCCTAGAGCGCAAGGCCGGCCCAGTCGTCCCCCTCTGAGTTAAAACGGGTCACCTGGGTGAGGTACAGAGTGGGAGAGAGAAGTGGCTGCTTCAGAGGACGTTGGCTGCGCTGCAGGTCTCATCTAGCGTGGGGCTTGCACCGACCCGGGAGCGCGCGGTAAGGGTTCTTTATTCACTGAAGGAGTGAAACTGCCCAGCCTCTGGTCTGCGGGCATAGCCAGTCCGAGGCCGGAGGCCGGGAACAGGACCCCTGCAGCGGGACTTGGGGGGAGGGACGGAGGAGCCGAGGTCAGGAGGACGAGGGGTGAAGGAAGGTTAGGAAGGACCTGAGGGCGGAGATAGAGAAAAAAGACCGGGGCCGGGGTGGACCGGCCGCGCTCTGGCCCTCTCTTCTCCGCACCCCGGCCGTCCCGAGCCTCGCAGGGACGGCTGTTCTTAGGCCCTCCGACCTCCTGGGAAGACAGAAGCAACCGCCATCGCTTCGGTGGCGACCGAAGGGGGCGCAGAGTCCTTCTCAGCCGCTCCGGAGACTCGGGGGAGGGGGCCAGGGAGGCCGCCGCGCCCCGCCCCGTCCCAGGACCTCCCGCCCCCCCCGGGCCGAGGGCCGCGCCCATTGGCTGGCCGGGCTCCGCGAGCTTCTCCCATTGGCTGGCTGCGGTGAGGGGCATGCGGCCACCGTGGCGGGCTCGCAGTCGGAGGGCGGTGGACGGACAGATGGGCCGAGGGCTGCACGGGCTGCAAGCAGCGGGCATGGCGGGTGCGGGGTTGCGAGTGGCCGCTCGGCTCTGGCTGCCTTGCCGAGGCCACGGCAGGCCGCGAGCCGCCTCGTCTTCGCCTTCCTGCCCTGGCTGCGGGCCCCCGGGTCCCGGCTCCCACTGCCCCGGCGCTCCGCGCTCTGCACCCACCCCCGCGCCCGCAAGCGGTGCCGACCTCAGTGCGTACCTGTGGGCTCGTTACCAGGACATGCGGA